TAGAAGTTGTCATGCGTTGGAAACCTACAATGAAAGCCAGTACATTGCCGGTACCAGACAGCTGGTTGTTACTGATGCAAAACCAGTGCCCCCTCATCTGTGCTGATCCCGGTGTGGAGGCCGGCACCACGCTTTTGAGAGATCTTCTGCAGTGCTACCGAATGGTGTCAGGTACGTACGTGCCATCCCCAATGGGAGCGCACCGCTGGCAGTGTCTGTTACCATTGATGCCACTAATACCATAAATACGATGATAACATCAATAGCGCATTCGTGATTTCGAAAAGTGTGTTATTGAAATACTTACTTTGATTATGAACTACTCTATAAATTTTCATTAAATCATCTGGACTTCTGATGTGTGTTATTCACGATTATTTTAACACCATTGCGCAAAACTCTTAAGAGTTATGAAAGACTGAGGAATCTACATGACTGCACTGCATTGATTTTAGGGCGGGGTTAGTTAGTACACGTACCAACTTGCCCACAAAAGAAGTTCCAGCCTGCCTGCTCACCTCTGTCATCGCTGATGTCTCAACAAATCTGTCTTCGCCCCAACAGAAAGACACTACAGTAATTAAAGTTTCGTCGAAACCAGTGTTGTGGCTAGAACGCCGCGTGGGAAAGCGTGAAATGACAGCAACGGCGCCTTTTTGGCACCTAGTCTTGAGTCATAACTTTGAAATCACCTTGTGTATGATTGCTCTTTTCGCCGAGGCCGCCACAGGCTGCTACTTACAATTCCGTAAGTTATTCAAAAAGTTATTTGTCATCCGTCGTGACAACAGCTGCCACGTCTTTTACGACCAACGATCTTGTATTGCTCTAGGTGTGATCAGCCACGAATTTCCCACATGTAGCGTGAAAGATTTGAAATTGTTGTAAATACTTTAGAACCAGGAGCGCACACGAAGACGCACATATGTGACGTTTGTGTTCCTACGATGATGATGATAATGGTGATGATGGTGGTGGAGATTTGCGCAATGATCCATGCGGAAGATGATGTAGGCATGCGTTACGCAGCAAATTAACATAATCTGATAAATGGTAGAGCTGATCAAAAACAAACTCTATAATCATGTCAAATAAGGCCTTAAACCAAACAAATTTGATCACACACTAGGTCGGGAGAGGCTACTCGGTTTCAGGGTGTTCAGGTTCGGGTAGTCTATTCTGGATGCAGTGTCATAGGTAACCCATTCGCAGCTGGGCGTTCGTGGCTCCGTGGCATGGACACGAGGTGCTGGACCCCCAGTCCAGTGACATGGGTTGCGAATTCCTGGGTAGGGATTTTATTTGCCAAGCCGGCAGCTAGCCGGAGCGGCGGCGGTGCCACGGTGTGGGGTGGCCGTGCCGGGTATTGTACGGCGTGCAAAAATCCTGCCTAGCAGGCAGGCCGTAAGCAAAATTACCGGATGAACTGTTCAGGCTGTTTTGGATGGTACTTTCAGAACACACGTAACAAGCTCCACTTAGTAAGTGTTTCAACAAAAAATCGTCCATGCAAACTGTAGCGTCGCGTCCCGTACGCCCTCGCGTCTGACGAGGCGGTTCGTGGTGGGCCGCGGCAGTTGACCTTGCCGGGGTCACGGGGTCATAGCCTGCGGCGCCACACGAACGGAGACGCCGGGCGGGCACGGTGCGGGGGACAAAGGAGTCTGGGCTGGGGACGCGTGCGGAGAGCGGCTGATCGGCTTTGAGTTTTATTCGTGAAGGCAATGCAAGTTTTATTACCAATAGACTACGCGGAGTCAGAATGATGGAGAGAGGTGAAACACTACACAAACCGGTTGAGATAATGTTTTTATATCCCATTTAGGAGGGGTGGATTAGTGAGGGGAGATGATTCCTCGGTAGCACGGGGCACCCAAGCCGCGCTGCGCGGATATCAGTGGTACAAACGACGCGCTTCAATAAAAAAGAGCAGGCTTTTAATGCAACGCTGCAACCGAAGTCTGGCCAGGCACTGATCAAAACGCTTGGATTGGTGACTTGATACACACAATGCTAGAGCTGATTTCTGCGTGCCGCAACGACAAAAACAGATCAACCAGCGGAGGACAAGATTTATTGTTAAAACATATGCCAATAAATGGATTTTCCCGGCGCTCTTTGTTTCGGCCGCCCGAGGACGAGGAGCCAGATCTCGAGCGCATGCGCAACTTTAATGCTGTATACATCAGTTCGAAATCGCCGGAACTATTTCGGTCTCGCGACTTGCTCTGTAACCCAGATAGCCGCCGTTTTCCTGACGGTCCAGACGTAGGATGGCAACAATGTATCTGAAATGTGGCCCCTGCTGAATCATCGAATGGCGGTGTCGCCATTACGGGATATAGTGCGCATACACACTGCACCGTGTGGTATGTACATCACCCAGTGCGATACCAACAGTGCAGTCTGTAGTGTCTACAGTCGATGGCCATTCAGTTCGCTGCCGCGGGCTGAAACTTGGGACCACCATAGTCGCCATCTAACTCACGCGTCGTAATCTAGAGGGCCCAGCTAACTACTGGCATAATTACGGGGCTACCGCAAGGGACGCTTCCCATCGCTGCTAGTGGGTGATAAAACGAGACCCGGGCACGGCCTGTAAAAACAGGAAAATTGGTACACTACGAACTGTGTCCTGCCGTGTGGGATGAACTGGGAGCTGTGACGGTTCGTCGAGCGTACTTGACCATGGACTAGGAGGGCATGTTAGCCGGAAAAGGCGATCGTGGCCGAAACGACGGTCGCAACGTCCTGGGCCCACACATGACTACGATGAGGCAGGCCCGAACAGAGGCTTCTCCTGACAAAACGGGGCTTGTGGACACGACGTGTGAGTAAGCAAGCGGTCGCTGCTCGGAGACGTGATTATGGGGGGGGGGGGGGGGGGGGGGGAAGCGTGGGGACACAGAGTGGGTGGATTGGGGGAGGAGGTCAGCGAGGTAGGCTGTTGGATCTTTTGTACGTTGGACCCATGACGTCACTCACCGATTCAGCCGAACAACATCAATGTTGAAGCCGGCTGGGTGCCATGGGGACGGCCTGCAGCCCCTCGCCTCGCCCCGACGCACCGAGACGGAGCGTATCCCGCTCGGGAGCCGCCCAGCCGGGTCGAACGACACGTATTAACATGCCCCACCCCGGGGCGATGCCACTCCGGCAGATATACGGTGGCGGCGCGCTCATTACACGCCATTTGGGGCCGTTCCCCCGGCCGGCTGCCCGGCGCGCCCGCCAATTAGGCGCCGCCAATCAGCGGCGAGCGCGCCGCGGGCCGCCGCAGCCGTATTTCAAGTTCACGGCTCGCGCGCCGCGGGTGTCGAGGTCAGCGCCGCGGCTCCGGTCTGCCGCCGGCGTGGGCCTCCCCTGCGGCCGCCCCTGCCGGCCACCGTGGAAACGCGGCCCCGCTTTGCAACGCGGTGAGAACGGGAAGCGCGGCCGCGGTGGCGCCCGGCACGGTTTTCCTTGCGGCTGGCCGTGCGGGGATTAATATGGAGGGCGAGCGGGTCGGGTGGACGGGTGGGTGGGGGCGTCGTGAGGGCGGGTTTTCACCGCACGCGGAGCGAGGGAGCCCGATCCGGCTGGGGCTCGCGACCTGGCGCTTGGAAGTGCGGTGCAAGAGACAGGACGGCAGTCACGTGACGGCGGGCCCGCCGGGCTTGTGGCCGGGTTCACGTGCCGCGGGGAGACGCCCCAGTAGGCGGGGTCACGTGTCGGCCTGACCTCGGCAGGGGGCGGGAGTGGACAAACAGCCGCGGCACAGCGACGGGCAGGAATGCAATGTTAGCGATTTGTTTGCGCCATGTTGGTAATGGCGGCAAACCGACGAGGCCAAGTAGCCCCCTCCCCACAAGGCTTCACAGACGGTTGTGTCCCCTCAGCGGAGAGCGGGCCAAAGGATCCCACAAGCAGCTTCATCCTCGAACATGTCCGCTGGTGTCCGGCAGCGGGCTGCCAAATCAGAGCCGGACAGCTGGGCTGCTAAATGCAGAGTCCTGACAGCTGGGCTGCTAAATCAGAGCGGACAGCTGGTCCGCATGAATGAATAACGCTTTCGTGGACCGGAACAGGTCTGTCGTGAAAAGTCTCTGCCTGATTATCTGGACGGAAATCTGCGGATCAGGCGGCGCTATTTTACGTCTAATCCGACCGGTTGGTGTCCTACTCTCTGTCAAACTAGGGTAACCCGGAGAAGGGGGCCTCACCCAGCGTTAGCAGCGTGTAATCGAGGGATGTCCGTGAAAATGGCCAAAAAAACGTTGCGACGTGATTTATAGACACCCCGATGGTACCACACGTCAGTTTGTCGTGGTGCGTCATAAAAAGCCAGAATAAAAATATGCATATACAGTCTTAAGCCACTGCAACACAGCCTTGTATGCAACCAAAGCAGTTAAGCCCAAGGGAGAATTCGCGATTATAAGATATGGGGAAACTACGTGCAGATATGGACAAACCATGGCGCTATACGCTTACAAGGATGACGCGGCTAACTGCAACGTACATGATTTACAAGATCGCGATATGATACCAATCATGGAAGCACAGCATTCGCTCACGAAAGCGAGAAGTTTTTAATCGTTGAAAATTAAGAGCGCGCCGTGTAATTAAATGCATAATGTATGCGACATGGACGATCTTTGTTACTTACACATAGTCACCACAAGTCGGTAATGTCAACTCTGATGACACATTCGACAAATGTGGACGCAAATATGGTGCATACTCGTCACAAGAGAAAAGTAAATCGCTTCTATAAGTGCGTAGAGAGCCTGCCAAACATCTTTGAAACGCTTTTTTTGCGGGCGTCATCACGCCAAATAGGACTAATGTCAAACTTTCCAGAGCGTGAGAGCCCGACCATGCTGTTTTCACGATTACGCGCCGCAAAGTAGTCCATTTCCCACATGATTTAACGTGTGTTAACACTTGTGCACAGTTGGGGTTCGGCCAGCGGCTGGCGTCAGCGGCTAGCGTCAGCGGCCGGCGGTAGCTGGACTCACGCATGCACCGCCTGCCGACGTCGCCGCTGCCGTGGTAGCCGTAGGTGGCGGAGCCCATCAGGGTGGAGGTGGTGTAGTCGGTCTGCCCGGTGGCGTCGTGCGTACCACCAAACATGGCGGCCCTGGCCGGGCCCGCGGCCTGCAACAGACACGCGCCAATGGAGAGGTCAAGGTCACTGCAGACGGATCGAGGTCACTGTCAAGGGGGATGCAAATGATGACAGGCTAGGGGGGGCGCAGCCAGCAATGCTGATAAAAACCACGAAATGGGCAGGTGCGAAAGTGGGGATAGCTACACCGATTCGTCTCGCTCTCTGGAGCTCATCATAGCAAGTTTAACAATTATATTTCTGGTGTCGTTAGGTGAGATGTCGCAATGCGAATCATGAATGCTCTTTTTGAAAAAAAATCACACGACTGAGATAACGCTCCGGCTTTGGGCCCATAGAAAATAATTTAATCCGTATATGAACACGAATAACTAGTGATCTTTGCTTGGCACTTGGTGAATAATACGACTCCTTGTAAATTTGATGCTGTATCATTCGGCCAGAAAGAAACACATCTTCCATGAAAACGGCATGCATCACCATGATTAAACTTCAATCTATCATTGAGGAATGTCCAAAGGCGGGCACCAAATCATCCTCTTCCGTCGGCTTGTGCACATTTGGTGCCGGCGTATTACAGTTGTCCTTATTTCGTGAGATTCGTATGAAGCGCTCACATTTCATAAATTATTCGAGGAGTGATAATGTGAACTAAATATCAAGAACTATACATCAGTGAAGACATGACAACCACTTAGCTGGCGTGAACTAACTCAGTAATGTTTAAATTACAGTTTGACGCTTCATTGGACTGCGGGTATAGTTACGCGCACTGCTTCGTTCCACCGATACATACCATCCTCTGCAGTGTCCATTGGGGGGTGTTCCCGACACCAGTACAAGCGGGGGCCGCACCGGAACACCCAGCATTGTTCAAGACGAACCGCCTGTGTCACTTGCTGTACGTGCCGCATTGTTAAAAGTGAAGTCCCAATCAGATGCTCGGGATCGCTGTGGTAGTTAGTGCTTTATTGGCGTGGCTTCATTGTCCCGTGCACCTGTGTTATTGCCTGTCGCCTCCTACATCGGCAGCTGAAGGCGGCAGCTGCCGGCCGGCTCCGGCAGCTGCAGAGTGGACTGGAAATGACATGGGCAGCTGCAGGGTAGACTTGGAGTGACATGAGCAGCTGCAGGGTAGATTGGAGTGACATGGGCGCTGCGGGTGGACTGGGAGTGCCATGGGCAGTTGCAGGGTAGACTGGGAGTGACATGGGCAGCTGCAGGGTGGACTGGAGTGACCATGGGCAGCTGCAGGTGGATTGGGAGTGACATGGGCAAGCTGCAGCTAGACTGGGAGACATGGAAGTGTGAGGTACAAGGTGGACTTGGAGTGACATGAGCAGCTGCAAGGTAGACTGGGAGTGACATGGGCAGCTGCAGGGCAGACCGGGAGTGACTGCTGTGCCCAGACCCGTCTATAGGTGAGATAACAGTTGGCTTGTGCTGGGTGCACCTCAAATCTGGTCGGTAGGTTTTCAGCGTGCGACGAAGCGACAGCTGATAGCCGTCTGGGATCCAGAGACTCGTACATTGTGGTCGGTGGCCGGCCTCTGGATCAGTGCCAACCTACCTCGCCGCCAGCGTGCATATTTCTGGCACTTTGTCAACCATTGCCAGTCACCTTAGCGCACAAAATATACCGATGCACTTCTCGCTGCGATGCTGGCACTGGCCTGCACGCTGCCATGATGCGCTCACTGGTATCGCTGAGATCGCTGCCACCGGGCATGTCACTTCGAACCCCGCATCGGCGGCTGAAGTGGTGACGCCCTTGCTAGCCACGGCTTTTGAATTCGAACCCGCTCACATAAGCCGCTTGAGTGCCTATGATCGGGGCCAGTCTGGGTCGACTGAATTCCTGAGCCTGCAACTTCATGGCCACCCAACCGCCCACGTTAGAATTTGGTGGTTCGGTGTTCAGAGGGCCGGAGCTCCCATGAGGCCACGATGATCCCTGTCGACAAGCGATCCCCAGTATCAACATCAGCGTTGGGAGCGGTCGCCTGCTGGTATCGGGCGTCGGGCAGACGGCAGTGAGCAATGTTTTGCCAAGTCAACAGCGGGGTACATGTCATCGTAGCCACTTGCCCGTCGGTTTTCACGTCATTGCCAACCGTTCGAGTCAGTGAGACACGTCTGTCGTACAAAATGCCGTCGGGTTACACGTTCATTGTCAGCTGTCCA